TTAATCGAATAAAAACATTGTTCTAATAAAATATTTTTAGTGTCGATTTAAATCGTTTGGAAGTTACTTCCTTAATTTTTTGAGCTGGGTGATTGTATAAATTGACATTTAAGGTATTTTTAAAAGTTTTTGTAAGCCTAAACTGTGAAGTTCTTAAGAAATTTTTGTTTCTAATATTGTAGTTGTGAATATTATGACTTAAAATGTGACTAGATTTGAAGATGTTTAAAAATGGGTCGACAATGTTCATTAGCTTTGGCCTTCACTAAAACTCTAACCACTCGTTTTTGCAATTTAAAGATTTTTATGGCATTCACTGAATTGCCCCATAAAATTATACCATAACTAAGATTGGAGTTGAATAACGAAAAGTAACAGGTCCTAAGGATGTCAGGTGAAAGTATATAGGACAGTTGCCTAATTACGAAAATAGAACTGGAAAGTTTTTTGCCAGGTTGTTCGCTTTCCAATCTAATTTATCGTCTGTTGTGATACCTAGGAGCTTTACGTGATTTCCTTTGGTAACGTTGGAATTATTTGAAAAAATTAAATTCTGGGTCTTGTCGTTCTTCATTGCCAATTTATTAGGCGTTGTAACGGGGGTTTTTGTGTCGCGTGCTTGTGGTGGCTATACTTTTACTACTTATTCTTTGGTTGGCCTACGGGAGCTTTGGGTGAGCGGAACCCGTTACAAATTACTAATCTAATCTGACCTTTTAATCCGGTGAAGATCGTCGTGGCTTCGGCTGGAGGATGTCGGTGAGACGAGTCGAAGGCGAAGTAATCCTATATGTATATTGACACACTTAACTCACTCGTGAACCGCGCGGAAAACTTCATACACGATTACCGTTCACTATATACTTACTTTCGACTTAACTTGATTCAGGGCTATTTCTTATACAACAGACAGAGCAATAAAGCGATATTTCAAACCATATAAATATATTAACAAACAAAGAGTTAACAATAAAAAATGAAAAGATATAAACAAGTAAAATTAAGTTAAATAAAAATTAAAAAAAGAGATAATTAAAGTTACTCCAGAGATTTAATTTACAAGAACTAGTTTACAAAACAAATTAGAACTCTAGATTAAGAAATTTAACTAAAAGTAAACTAAAGGAAAATGTAACAAATAATTAACTAAGCAAATGCGCGGTGCGAGTTACTCGAAATTAGAACTCTAGATTAAGAAATTTAACTAAAAGTAAACTAAAGGAAAATGTAACAAATAATTAACTAAGCAAATGCGCGGTGCGAGTTACTCGAAATTAGAACTCTAGATTAAGAAATTTAACTAAAAGTAAACTAAAGAAAAATGTAACAAATAATTAACTAAGCAAATGCGCGGTGCGAGTTACTCTAAAGAGTAAGTAACTATAATTAAACAAACTATTCGGAGTGAATCTAATCTACACAAATGGTTTGAAATACAATAATTACTATAAGTACCTTTACACTGAATCAAATGAAGTTGGCGAGGATCTACGACCGATGTGGAAAGCGCGATAAAATTTAGATAAGAACTGACGATTCAAAGGTCGTGTTGGTTTTTTATAGACTAATTTACGGAAAAATTGGTAGGGATCAATTCTTAAAGACCATTGGTCAAAATCATGGCAACTCCCCCCCCGCAAGGGTCATAGAAAATTGACTGGTTCAAAAGGTCATAAAATCTCATACCAACCGAAAAGGACGAAAGGTTATTGGTTTTAATCTAAGCGGTTCAATAATTCTTAAGGGAGGAGGCGTTAACCTTTGACTTAAGTCGGAAACTTGGCTATGTGAAAGGTCGGGAACAAACAAGGTGGGAATTTTACTAGGCATTGGGCGGAGTTTTCGCCAACTTCAAGATAAACTATAATTTACTAGATTTGATAACTGAGGATAGCCCTTACGGATGCTTTGAAGGTACGAGGGTTGCCTAATGATTGAACCCATTATTTTTATATCTGGTTATTAATTCGTATTAACTGCGTTTGATTTTATTGGGCATTTCTTTGGTTCAAACCATCCTTATGAGCTTTCCCCATCTACACCTAATTTACATTGGCTGATCGAGACTTATCTTTTAATAAGCAGCCACGCTTTCATATTTACAATACAATCTACCTAATCTTACGTCTTATTTCTAGTCTATAATCTCCTATTTTTAATCTATAATCTCCATTTTTCTAAGTTTAGTTTTCAACTGAATCAATTCGTTACTTTCTTTAATTATATTAATCTTATTATATTTCTGACGCTTTTCGTTTACTTCAAAACTGCTTCGTTTAGAGAAAGTGTTGCTGCCATATGTTTGGGCGACTTCGGCAAAATAAAGTTAGCCTGCAATATGGATTTATGGCTTTATGGCCTCGATGGGAATTTTCGTTAAACACGACCCTATAAATTTGTTTTTGACGTTACGTTTGAAATCCTCTTCAAAATTACTTATTTTGCACATGTTAAAGCTTTCTAAACCTTTCTAAGAAACTCTTAATTTCTGGGTTTTCCCAGAAATATTTTAACGGTTTTTTTCCACTTTCTCCCTGTTACAGCGTAAAGCAGTCAAAAGCAGTAGTCTCAGATTCTTTAGCAGACAGTTTAAGTGAAATTAGATCCTTATTAGAGTCGATCATTTCAGAAAGGCAGTTGTTTATATAGACACGTTGTTTTCTATTATTTGGATAAGATTTAAGTATATCCCAAGATTTGCCTCTTAATTCCATAAAATTTTAGCTTCTCTAATAGAAGAAAGTGTGACGCGCAGTCAAAAGCTTTGGACAGATCGCACATAGTTAGCGATACAATAGTTCCTTTTTCGAGACCTTCTAAAATGTCCTTTATGACTTTGGAGAATGCGTTGATTGTAGATCTGTTAGAGCGAAAACCAAATTGGCAGTCATCCAATAAATTAAAATTGTATAAATATTTGACAATAGTTTATTTTTTAATATTTTTCGATTACTTTAACAATTACAGGAATAATAGAGTTTGGGCGGTAGTTTCCTATTTCTTTAGTATCTCCTTTCTTAAAAAGTGGAATAACCTTACTAACTTTTAGACAATCTGGAAAAATTCCGTCCTCAAAACATTTATTAACAAGTAAAGTTAGGGGTTGGATAATAATATCAATAGTGTTTTTTTAAAAAAAAGCTATTCATTTCATATACATCTGGGCATTTTGAGTCGCTTAGTGATATGACAGCATCATGGACATCAAAAGTGCTTACCGGGTCATGAAAAAAGAACCAGCTGGTGAATTCATACCGCTCAGAAAGTTTAGTGCAGCATTTTTAGTGTCTGGTAGATTTTTTATTAAATTTTCAGCTATTGTAGCAAAAAAAAGTATTAAAATCATCTGGTGTGAAGGTAGGATCCGTATTTGAAGTCTTAATTCTATTTCTTTCAAAATTAATTAACTTCCAAGTATCCCTGGCTTTATTGTTTGAGTTAATTATATAATTTTCACTGGCTTCCCTTTTACTTTTTAATATCTGAGTTTTTTTATATTTATTTAGGTCGAATGGGTTTTTTGTAGTGTTATAAACAGTTTTTAAGGCATATAGGGTATTTCTAATTTCTTTTAGTAATCCGTTGAACCATAGTACAGGTGTTTTTTTATTATTTGTTTATTTTTAAAGGAAATTGTTTATTTATTAGTGTTTTGTAGTTGTTTACCATGAAGTTTGCTAGAGTGTTAGCATCAGTATTTAAGTTATTAAATTGGAACCAATTTAAGTCATTCAGTAGACTCCTAAAAACTAACATACCCTTCCGAGTTTGTCACTATTTATAACATTTTTGCAGTTTATTTTTATGTATTGCCCCATATAATCCGATAAACATGGGTCAACAACCCCCACTTTAAACTGATTTGGTTCAATGTTTGTTAATATGTTATCAATACAACTTGAGGAGAAATTTGTTATTCTTGTTGATTCCAAAATAGTAACAGAAATTCCAAAAGAGGTGATTAGACATTGTAAGTCTGTAAGTTGAGTGGAAAGCTTATTAAAATTTATAATAAAGTCGCCTAACAAAATTATGTTTTTGAATTTTGTATTTAATTTAATTAAAATAACTTCCAAGTTTGCTAAAAAAAATATTAAAATTACCTCCGGGCGGGCGGTATATGGCAACTATTGCACTATTTATAGATTGTAGATCTATAGCACAAACTTCTAATTTTTTTTCTAAACTTGATTCGGGTATATCAATTATTTTATATTTAAAGAGATGTTTTACAAATATAGCCACTCCGCCGTGTTTCGTTATGACTCTGCAAAAGCTACTAACCAGAATGTTTATATGTTTAATGTTTTCATTATTTAGCCAATGTTCAGTAACACAGACAACGTCGTATTTTAATTGTTTCAAATACAAATGTAATTCTTCAATTTTATTTGACAAACATTGAATATTAACATGAAAGATACTCACTGTATTGTCCCTATATTTATTTGTGTTAATCATACTGCTGCTTGATTTTCTATCTGATTGGGAAAATTTTGATCGGTAACATTTGCAGGTTCTTTTTTAGGAGATAGATAAACCTGTTGATATAAGTTTCACTTGGCCAGAAACTGGGCTTAATGAATGTTTGTAAATATTGAGATGATGTACCAATTTTGAAGGCAACACCTTGTCTTTTTGTTGCAATTTTCTCACAGGTAAAAACTCCTTCCGGTACTTCTTCCTGGAGGCAGTCCAATATGTCCTCCTCGGTTTAGGTGGTGAATATTTAGGTACAAGCTGTAAAATTATATGTTAATAATATGAATAAATAAATAAAATAAAATAAAAAAATTGCTACTGTCTAAATATCATTTGCAATATCTGAATTACCTCTGCTACTTTCTGAATATCAACTGAAAAAGTAGTGTTAATAATTACAAGATATTACCTACAAAAAATAACTTTAGATTTGGGATGGATTAAAATGTTCCTAGAAAAAGTGTTTCCTATTTAATACTTCTATTTTTAAGAATTTAATGTATCCTATATAATTTAGGATGCGTCCCAAAAGTTTGTTTTGATAAAAAATTGTAGTAGAGCTAATTATTAAATTTTAATATTATTTTTAATATATTTTTAGGTCAAAAATCGTACAGTCCTACCACACGCTTTATTAATAAATTAGTAAAAACTGAAGAATCTATTCAGGACAAATTTATTTTAAAAGAACCATTTAATGATAAGCCTAGTAATTATTGCAATATTATACATATAGGAATAGTATGTTCTGGCTACAAAAATACAGTATTCTTTCATAATTTATTGAAGTCAATATTTTTTCATAGAGTCAATCCTATATATTTACATATAATAACTGATAAAAATACTGAGTATCTTTTAAATACACTTCTGGTGACATGGGATCTTCCACAAGGTAATGGTATAAAATATTATAATAAATAAAATATTGTAATATAGAATGGAATGGATTTTTTTTAGTTAATTTTATATTTTACGATCTAAGTAATTTTGTGCATGAAGTGAAATGGGTGCCGAACAGCCACTACTCAGGTGTATATGGAATGCTAAAAATACTATTTCCTAAATTGGTTCCTTATAATGTTAAGAAAATGTTGGTTTTTGATACTGATTTGACAGTTAATAGTGATATAAATGAATTATGGAAACTTTTTAAAAATTTTAATAATAAACAAGCTATAGGAATGGTCGAGAATGAGAGCGATTTTTATTTGAATGGTGATGTTTGGCCAGCTATTGGAAAAGGATATAATTCGGGTGTACTTATGTATCATCTAGAAAGGCTAAGAAAAATTGGATGGAACAAGTTGTGGCCAGAAGTCACCAAAAAAGCTGCCTCAGGTCATGGAACAGCAAGATTAGCTGATCAAGATGTTATTAATGCAGTTCTTAAAGAACGCCCAGAATTGTTGTATGAAGTGCCTTGTTATTGGAATACGCAATTAAGCGATCACACAAAGAGTAAATCTTGTTATAGTGCCAATAAAGTTAAGGTAAGAATAGTACATTCTGTAACAAGTTTGGAATACAGCATATTCCGCTCGAGGAAAAATTTGCTATTCCAAACGTGTTTCAGACATTATTTTCTCTACGACTACGTAAGAATAGTAACGCTTATATAATTTAAAACAGAGAAAAGAAACCAAGCAGTTTTTGACATTTAAGTTTTTGTATTGTCAAACCATTTTGTGCCGTCACAATTTTATAATGTAAATTATAATAAATTTAAACAAATGGTATGCCTAAATCTTTATTATAATTAAAAATAGTTATTTACACTAACTAACAATAAAAATAACATTGTAACAAATAAAAAACTAATTTTACAAGTAATCTATGTCAACATCTATTCTTTTTCTACATTTTAAAGGTCTTTTTTTAAACTTTTTGAATGTGTCAAAACTTCAAAGCCGGTATAGTAGGTAACTGGTTTATCATTTTAATATCAAATTTATTATAATTTTGATTTGTATATTTGAAAAACAATAAATATAACTAATTTTTTGTGCCTAAACCTTAATTATACAACTGCTATTATTTTTTAATTAATAAATAATACAGTAATATTTAAATATTTTTAAATTTTTTACGTTTAGTAAACAGCCAGGAGATGTCGTTACTTGTGACCATTCTTAAACAAGTGTAGGAATATTCTCGCACAGTATTGCAGAAAAACATCCTTTCTATGATCAAAAATTACACTAGAATGTTACTATTCTTAAGTAGTCGTAGAGAAATATTTTATTTATATATTATTGCGTCGACGACCTTACTTCGTCAGTATATCTGACGCAGTATTGTCAAGCGCTTATTTCTTAAAATTACTTTCTAAGATTCTTGTAAATACAGATCTGTGCAGAATTTACGGCCCTGCTTTGTGTGTGCAGCAATGTTCTAAAAATGGATAAAATGTGTATATTTAGTTCAACCAATTTTAGGATGTGAGCGTTGCGATAGTTTACGTTTTCCAATATACGCATTTTTAAATCCTATATGTTGTTGCGTCGCACAATTTGGCAACGTCTCGCCTATGATTTTAATATTTGAATTAAATTCACGATACACACAAACAGGGTATGCTGTTGCGAATGGAAGCGCTGTCTCTCTCGCTCCGTGTGACGTCATGCTCGAAACAGTTGTTCACTCGTTTTAATGTAATTACATTATAATTTTGAGGCGCGCGTTCGAGTTTTATGAAATTTACAATTATGACGGGCCGATTTTTTAAAACTGATTGTAAGAGAAAATTGTTTTCTCCATAAGTAATTGTGTCAATGTATTTTTTAAATTATATATGCAGATGCAGATTTAAAGGCAGTAAAACGATGATCATTTTTTACGCTTATAATCGTAAAACGTCGTTTTTTTATTTTATAAATAAGTTCAATGTGTTTTATCTTATTACCAGGTAATTCAAAAGATATTTAAAAAAAAGGAAAAAATCAATGTTATAAATTGACAACCTAAATTAGGTTACCTAATAGAGATCTCATCGGAACTAACAATTTTTTTAAATAAATATTTTTTAATTTATTCAAAGACCATATTAATAAACGACAAGCCCTAAAACCTGTTTTTATTCTCAAGTAATATGTACTGTAGTTTTACTTTTTTACTTTCCTGTTTATACTTAAAAGTTGTTCATATTTTTATATTATAATTATAGAAATATAATTTTTAATAAAATACATTTGTTTGTGGATTTTTTTATTTTAAATACATAAAAAACATAAATTAAAAATTATTAAAAAAATTATATTATAAAACAGAAACATTAAAATAATATGAAATATTATTATTTAATATCGCAGCACAAAATAACTTTTTGTTTTATTTAATTTTATGTTTGTCAGTTGATGGTCAATAGTACAAAAACAATTTGACCGGTCAATTGCACAACCCTATCTGTTGGTTGATTTTCATACGATTTAAATTAAATAATAAATAATAAATAAAATAATTAAATTTTAAATAACTTACGACAAAATATTATACCCGACGTTTTCTAAATAATAATTATTATAATAATATTAAAAATCATATTAATACTGATCTTTATTTATGTTATGTCTATTATAAAAATTAGGTGCATTAAGTATAGTTGGAATCATCTCTAGATCTATGAATCCTTTATCATATGAATTTAAAAATAATAATGAAATTCAATTCATTTATATCATGGAATATTAAAATAGTTTTAAAATTTTAAACTTAGGTACTTGCGGTTAATAAAGAAACTCGATAATACTTCGGAGACAACTGCTCGCAAGAACATGAAAACAGTAAATGTATATACATCCTTAATACAATATTGCGTCATTACCTTTTCCTTACCTTATTGCGTCTACTAGAAATAATTTATTTGGTAGAACAATTTTGCAACACTGGAGGACGCAATAAAGTCTGTACAAGTCATAGAAAATTTAAAATGAAATATACACGTGACGCAATATTATATAGATTAAAATGGGTTGATAATGTAGTGACTTTTGAAAAAAAGTGTATATTTTATTTTTTAAGATAAGAAACTCTGACCAGATTTTTGGAAACAGCGAAAGAAAGTTCGCCAATATACGTTTCTAAATTTTCGCTAATTGCCGTATTTCTAGTATACGCAATAAGGTCGCAAAATGTAATGACGCAGTATTGTATTATGGATGTATATATGTTTGCTTTAGGTTTCCACGGGCATTATATATATTAGTGGTTTTTCGGGATCTGCTCCGTGTTGTCAGTTTTTGGTTCTGACGACGTTTCGGTATGATTTTAAGGTCTTCTTGTTTCTTGTGGTCATCATCCGCCAGCCTTTCGCATCGCGTGACAAGTGTCTTAATAACTGACTGCAGTTGTGACGGGTGGTGGTGAGACTGGGCGTTGAGGTAGCGGTCCGTGTGTGTTGGTTGGCAGACCGTATGCCCTACTTTTCCATTATTTTTCTTGATTATGAAGACATCCAGAAAAGGTAATTGGTGTTCTTTCTCGGTTTCCATTGTGAACTTAATCTTTTTGTGAATTTCGTTGAGATGGTCCAGGAATTTCTTCAGTTCCGCTTCTCCGTGGGTCCAGATGATAAATGTGTCATCTACGTACTATGCTCCACACCTCAAAGTTCCACCACGTGACCACGTACGGAACGCAGTCTTTTGAAAATTTGGCATTTAAGGCTTTTCAGGTTATGTATCTGTCAAAGTATAGTCAATGAAAGAAATAATATTTATAGTGTTACCGCTTATGTTTAAGCGTTAAAAGTTAATAAATCTTTATAGTATCACAATAACAATAGTTGGTTTAAGAATTTAGGAATATAAATATTGCATTTAATAAAATTCCGAAGTGTAAGGTGCAATATAAGTGATATTTTTGTGCATTGGGTCTACATTTCTCAATAAAATAGTTTTAACTAAACACCATTTATTAAAAAAGATTCTCTATTATAAAATAAGAATATCTATCAAATTTAGGTTAATGTATATGAACAAAAAATGTCATCTAATTTTGTATTTTAAGGTTAGAAAAATCTATTTTGACCAAAATAAATAAGTGGATTATTTAAAAGAGTGTGTTAATATGGTCATAAATAAATATAGGTATACTAAATAATTGTTAAATATAGTTCAAATTAAATTGAAGCTTGTGCATACCTCTCGGCATACGTACTTTAAGTTAGATTATAAGAAAACAAACAATTTTTAGAGAAACTTGCAATGTGAAAATATTTAATACTCCTATGACGTGTGATTTATTAAAATTTTAATAATAAAAGTTATAATGATTTTTTGATGTAGATCAAATTCAGTCGAAGCTTTTTAACTATTTGTATTGACAAAACTTTATGTAGGTACACTTTAAGCTGGATAAGAAAAACTACCACATTTTTAAATACCATATTATACAGTCTTTTAAATAATCCAAAATACCTATTTATTTTGGTCAAAATAAATTTTTCTAACCTTAAAATTACAAAATTAGATTATATTTTTGTTATAATATATTTACCTACCTTTAATACAGATATTCTTATTCCATAATGGAGAAGCTAGATTTTTTAAATAAATGCTGTTTAGTTAAAATTATTTTATGGAGAAAACCAGATATTTGGACCAAATGCACAAAAATATTACTTATTTGCACCATACACTTTAGAATTTCATTAAATGCAGTATTTATATTCTTAAACCATCCATTGTTATTCTAATGTTATAAAGATTTATACATTTTTAACGCCTAAACATAATATTATTTCTTTTGTTGACTATACTTTGACAGATATATAACCTGAAAAGCCCTAAATGCCAAATTTTGTAAAGACTGCGTTCCGTACGTGGTCACGTGGTGGGACTTTGAGGTGTGGAGCATAGTACCTCTTAAAAGGTTTCTTTTTTTTCTTAAAAAAAACACAAAAATGCGATGTCCTGACAAATGCCACTCAAAGTCTCGTTAGCCACATCTAATCTGTACGTTAACTCCAGTAATTACTCATTAATAACCACGCTTCTTCCTACAAGATTCATCGGATTGAAATACTTCAAGCGTCCTTTTCTAATTATTGCCTAAAAGAAAACGGGGTTACCTTTCTGATAGTCTGGCAAAGACGACTGATAAATGTCAAAGTATTTCAAATTAAGGCCTTGAACAGGATTACCAAATTTAAATATTAAAAATACCAAAGTATATTGACATATATGTGTCAAATTGCTTGTGTTTTATTTTAATTCTCTACTCTAGTGTGAGTCGCGAATTATCTACAGAGTACGTTTGTGCTTGGCAGGCGGTGTATTAAAAGTTGTTAATAAACATTTAAACTTTGTTCTTTTTATGTTATATTTTACAAACTTAAGTGATGAAAAAAATAATAGTGCAGACTCGTAGAAGTTCAAGTGCTCTTATTTTTGGTACAAAAAAAGATATTGATTCAGAT